CACACACACACACACACACACACACACACACACACACACACACACACACACACACACACACACACACACGTTGTCATACATCTGCTAGTCTAACTCACTTTGCGAAAAAAAGGTCGATTTGGTCATTAGCAGTTACGCACCTTTAGGAGATTTTAGGGGATACATAATTATGCTCACATTCATTTCGTTCGCCATATTCGTGGAGTACGCAAAGGAAAAGTCAATCCTGTGCATTCGCCATCTCCCTGGCCTCTACTAACGCCTCTCTCACGCGAATTGCTTTGCCTATTTCCAATCAATTCGAGGTCTCGTCCGTTTTGTGACTAGATGTGCCCCGTTTGCTTCCATCAATACTGACAGGAGAGCGAGTAAACACTAACATTTTCACTGAGATATAAACTAGTTTAACATTCAAATAACTTACTATATTCAAATAACTAAACAATTACGATGTAAAATCAGTTGAACGTGCCCCCTACGTATAGCTGACTTCAACATTTAGGTTGCTGAACACTTAACCCTAATTTGCGCCCGGGCTTGCAATCAACTAATCAACTAAATCAATGTCTAACTACAACTGCATCGCCTCGTACAATGGCTCTACGTGACTCAAACGGGCTACGCACTTTTGATGAGCACTCTAGCCTTAGCCGAAACCATCCACCCTGCACATAACCTCCACATGCCTCATGGGTACAGGCCGTTAACTAGATGGTTACCGCATCATACGTGTAGACTCATTTACGTATATCATATTAATCATTTTAATCATTAATCATTAATTTAGATCATTTATAATATCATGCGCAGGGAGAACTTCTGATCATTCGTCAAATATTTGTCCATCCACGAAGTTTAGGTTTGTAGTTAGGGAAACTTGACAGTGATTCGTTGTAAACCAGTTTCGTTACAAGCGAATCAAGTCGAAAAAAACGAAGAGAAAGGCGTGAATTTTATGGATTTTTGTCTATAATGGCTCTCATATGTAAAAGTCGATAAGTTAACAATAATCTCAGTCGCTGATCAAATTATACATTATTATAGAGCGCTAATTCGTGAATCTTGAATACAATTTCCGGCATATCTTTGTAATTATTATAAACTAAAGCATAATATGGTGATTAATCGCGCGAATGTTTTGAGCTTTCGTGAATGGCTGCTTGCGTGTACGTGCGTACTGAGGAGGGGGGGGAGAGTTAATGTCGAAACGATATAATCCTGAGCTATATTATTTCGTTTCCGTATAATAATCACTTGCAAACGAGCCGAAATGGAGTATTTCCACACTCCCTCTGCGCGGATATAGGCTGCTAGATGAAGGGGAACACCTGCGGCGCATGAGCCCGCTGTCGTATTTCTTGGCTGCTGTGTCTTTGCGCGTGCGTACTTACTTCGTGCGTCTTGCCCTCATATAAAGCAGAATCCGAAAATTCTAAAATGATTGAGTAAGCATATTGGCGGGAAAACGTGAACAATACGCCAATAAGCACTAACTGCATGAGACTTTTTCGAATGGCGGAAATCGAATTAGTTTTTTATCCGTTTTTTCATCACAGCAATTACGAGAGATCTTTATGAACACCAGAAAAATTTCACCTCTCCTGTTTATCTACGACAGCCGTTTTTCGTTTAAATGGCAAAGATAAAACACGCACGTAAGAAACTACGTTATTGGCCATTTCCAATACATATTAATACTTTTTAATTATTCTACACTTTGACACATTTGCATTTCCACGTAGATCATAACCGTGACGGAGATATCATATATTTATATTTACCTTAAACAGCTGATAATTATCACCTTTTACTTTTTTATATCAATACATGCCGCTTTATGAAATATTTGTTTGTGACCAACCACTATTGAATGTGGCATCACTAGCATACGATTATGCAGCACATGTTGAGAACGATGAACATGATCTGCAAGAATCGATCGATCAATCTATTGATTAAAATTGAATATTATAATTGAAGTTAAAAATGTTGATTTAATTTTCAAGTTTTCATTAAAAGTTTAAGAATAGTTAAAAAAAACTATTACTGTGCATGGCGATAATCTTTTTAAACCTGCAAACTTAATGTGTTATCTTTGTGTGTGTATGTTGTGTGTGTGTGTGTGTGTGTGTGTGTGTGTGTGTGTGTGTGGTGTGAGGGGGGGGGGGGGGGGGGGGGGGGGGGGGTGGTGTGTGTGTGCGTGCGTGTTGTGTGTACGCGCGCCGTATATGCGTGTGTGTGTGTCTCCTGTGTATATAAAATATATAGAATAGATGCATTACGGATATTAATTACGTTTAGAAAGTGAGGAATAAAACGCATTTTCACAGCATAAAAATATTGATGTATTGGAAGTAGGGATGTGCAGAATATTAATTAAAAACGGTATCGCTATGGGCTACTTCAATTGTTTTTGGCGTGGTGAACGGATCGCTCGACAAATGTGTAAAACGACACGCAAGCAGCACAACACACACACACCACCACACACACCACACACACACACCACACAGGGCACACACACACACACACACACGCACACACCCACACCACCGAGGCACACACCACAGCACAGGCACACACGCACACACACAACACACAGCACACACACACACACACACAAACACACACACAAACACACACACGACACACCCGCGGACGGCGGCGCCGCGCGCGCGAGACGAGATGAGTCGAGACGGACGAGGCTACATTGAACTTTTTTTAGCCACAAGGACAGGCAGACGGGAGCGGGTGTGAGGTTGGAAGTAGGATGGAATAGCTTACCACAGTCGTCCTCGTCCTTATTATCACCACAGTCTATCTTGCCATCACAGCGGAACAGGATGTCTATGCAGGTGTCGTTGCATTGAAACTCGTTCTCCATGCAGCCTGAAACAAACAACAGCCATCATCAGCCAGTAGTTTCTCTTCCTATTGTACTAGAGGCCACCTGTTGTCCACCTGACATGCCATTCGCACCTCTCTCCTCCCCCAGTATCGCTTCTTTACATCTTCCTTCTCGCCTCGCCCTCCTATCGGGGATTTAGCTGCTTGTCTTCTTTTATCTATCGTCCCGACCTTCCTTCTTCGCTGCCGTCGCCTCCTGTAACCTACTCATATTGCCTTCTTCAGCCACCTTCCCCCTTGTCGTCCCCATCTTTCGTATCTTTCTCGTATTTCCCTGTCGTGCTCATCTGTTGTCTCCCCTGATGTATAGCCGGCCCTTTTCGTCTTCTCCCGATGCCCCTCCTCGTCCCATCCCGCCGTCCCCGCAACCATATCTACCTGTTGCTCATCCTGGTCGATAATGTTGGTGGGTATGCAGATGGAGATACGCACAATTCCCTATTAAAGCATATACACATTTAATAACATAACGAGCGGGGACGTATTTTAACAATTTTCCTCTCTGAGAAACTTGAGTCGTTTCTAGCATGATTGTAGATTGAAGACCTGCGGAATTCTTTCGTTTCGTGTACGTGTCCTAACATCTTTATATAATACGCCCTACCGCCGTGACATGCGATTCAATATTTCTTATATCGTATACGTGAAAATACGATGGTTTGCTTGTTTTACTTTTTTCGTGGCCGCTTCTCCCGGGATCTAACGAGGTTATTGTCAGGTCGTGAACAGGATCCTGGCACTGATTATGATATATTCTATGAAGTTTCTGTAATCAAATTTGATGGAAGCCAAACGTGTTTAAACTTCGCGTAACTCTGCTGGATTTATGCTCGCCATTGAAAGATGAATTATAGGGTCGCTGCGGTTAAATGTTGTGCTTAAATATATTTCACTAGGAAGGTAATTGGTTGATAGCGATTAGATTCTACAAACGGGAGCGTCTTTAACTGCTGCGGCTTGTGCTCTGCCGCGATGAATCACGACAGACGATGATTTCATTATTATCGCATCGCCTCTTCTATTGTAATGCGATTAAAACGGCTTTTAAATTCACTACGTCACGAATTTTCTTTGGTGTATATTTGTGAAAATTTTGTTGCAATTTTTTTATATGAAAAGTAAGTAGACCTACTAACAGTACTAAATGTATCATCAAATTCTGACCTGATCAGATTGTTTCTTTAACTAGTTAAAAATAAAAAATAAACCTGGGCGATTTGATATATTGATCCTGACATTAAATGCTTGCTATGGGCTAGGTATACGTCACGAATGTTTGTTCACCTCGAATAGAATAGCAAAATAGTAATAGTATATAATACAATAATTTAACCATAAAAAGTGAACAGAATCACTTACATTTTGTGAAAAAGCGGACATAATTTTCTGTACCTTTACTATTTACGGTGACGTAATCACCTTATATGAGCATTTGTGTAGCCGCGATCGAATGTGACAGGTGACTTTGTCACCGTTCCCCCTCGACGCTATCCGTGAATGTTCGACAGGTTCATTGTATCAGGTGCGCCTCCTATCCGCGTGTCAGCCTAGCGTCGGAACCAATAAATACTAACACGAATCCGTTAACATACCGAAAAGAAAAGAGAAAACCGAGAGAAATTGCGTGACACGAACGGCAATCAGCGTGACTCTCTAACTTCACTGTCTAGACATCTTGTGCTCATGCTGGAACTTAACTCTGGTTGCCATGCACCTCGAGTAGAAAACAGTAGTCTAATGCGCAAGGTAACGGCAGTCAGTGACTGGCGTTCACGTGGCTCGTCTAATGATCAGTGTAGGTGTAATGAACAAGGTAATGAAGAGAGTCAAATTTTCAATGACTCGAAAATGAGACGCCAATCTAATTTAAATAACAAGGATATCTAACTCAAAGTGTCTCGGTGTGCAGTGTGTCTGCATACACACACACACACACACCCACACACAACGAACACACACACACACACACAATAGCACAGCCGCACCACACACACGCACATGGACACATACGGCCACACACACACACTCACGCAGACGCAGACGCACACGCACATGCCACACACAGCCGACAACACACACATAAACACACCACACACACCACACACGCACACACGCACGCCACACACCATACCACGACACACATCAAGCACACGCACACACACAGCACACACACCACACGCAAGCACAAACAAGCCACACCACGATCACCAACTGACACACACACGTCCGCGCGCGCAGCTGCGCACCGCCCTCCACAACACACATACAATACATACATACATAACATATACATTACACGCCCGCGCGCCGCAACACACTCCCCCCACCCACACCACACACATGCAACTAACACAAAGCCCACACACACAGATCTCACCACGCACACATTTAATATATATATAATAATATATATACTACTAATATATATACACGCACGCACACAAACACACGCGTGCATACGCAAAAGCGCGACCGCACACGCGCAGGCACAAGCACACGCCCTTAAGCATACATGCACGCAGACTTTGATGATGACAAGAATTGCGACGAAATTAATTACACTAATTGCCATAAACACACTGATGTCTGGAAATGAGTTGAGCTATAGTTCCAATTATTTTTCAACCGTAATGTTGTTTTACAAAAATCACTATCATGCATGGACATAATTATTATATTATCGGTGTGCATACACCATTGCGACAGCGATGTGTCTTTTGAATCATGATGCATGAAAAACATAATTTATAAGTATTATAACGTATTTCTGTGCAACCGGTTTCACATTGTTTTACAGTGCCGACGGTTGAAAGTTGAGTCTTCAAAGGCCTTAGTACACGTAATTATAATTAGACACATAACATTTCGCGTCGTCTAATAGGCCACACACAAAATTTGATCTCAATTAGACTCTCAATTAGATCTCAATTGATCAAAATTAGACTCTCGAATGGCACATAATTCTAAGAAACTAAATCTTTGGTAACGACACGTCTCTCGCATTCGCCAGAAGTTATAAAGCCGCAGGGAGACTTTATTATTATATCATTCATTACTAAGTCCATATATTATGTATTACCTAAATGCTGCACGAATTCCATTTTGAATGGGGATATGTTAAATATGTAATTTAAATTGTGTAATCTGAATTAACATGCATGCTAGAATGCGAGCGAAAATCGTGGACGCGAGATCGCATTCACTGAAACCCAGACATTTTCGAAAACTATTAAGCGTAACGGTTGCCACGAACTTGCATTCACTGTCGCGGTAAGCAGGTGCCGACGATTGTACTCGGTCACTCGACGTGATGAAAAGAGTATTCGTACCGAGCGGCCGTAACATTATGCATGGACGCCATTAAATAACCACATTTTGCATGGACGCCATTAAATAACCACGTTTAGCTGAATAGCGGAATAATAACGTCATGGCAGCATTTACCCCGATCCTATTGAAAGCATTCGCAACCGTGTTTTTAAAGGTTTATATTAGTGTCGCCGATTACGACTAACAACGTGCAGGAATACATTACGTGCGTAACGGTGGCCGGTCCACAAAGCTGTCAATAATCCGTGTGCTCCTATGCACGTGTCGAACACATACGTCTATCCCCGTGTCGAAATTCTGGGAAAACTGGACAGCGATGTCAGCTAACGAGCTGCAGCGCACCCTATCTGACTGCCGTCCGTAACGACTGCGAGCGCTACGTAAGCGGTCAAACTGCAAACTAAATCATCGGGGGTCGTAGCTAACGTTGGTGTGACACTTGTGTCTGTCAGTTACCACGGCCAGTGGGTATGGATATCTTCGAAAAAAGGAGGGAGGTTAGTTTTTCTCTTGATCATGACCTCGAACCTGAAGGACGAGTATTTTTTATAGTTGGTTGATAGTTTGGAGCAGGAATCATCCCACGCAGCAATGGGTAACGGAATCGTTAATACTTAGCTTGAAGATTGAGCATTGGGATGAATGTTGGGATGAATGAGTCAGCGCTTTCTAAAAACATCCATCAATCAACAGCGAAATACCTTTACGTGTATTAATGCACAGCGATGTTCATTCGAACTCGTTCTAACTCGCAATTGGCAATGACAGCTTTCGTTCAGCCTGATTGATCGCGTATATATGTAGACCAGCCACTAGCACAACTGTAAACAAATGTGTCACGAGTAGCTGCTATCATAGCACGCCATTTATTCAAATGGTCTGAAATGACTATAAAAATGGCACGTTCTTGCAGATTTTAAAGTTTTATGATAATAAGTTAAACGTTCACTAATCACCTTTATATAACAACGAGACGAATAGATCAACAAGTAAACACTCTATATCGTTCCGCATTTAGGGAGTACGTGTCTCATGTAGGAAGCCGTGTGTATGTACGTACACACTCTATTTACTTTATGTAGTAAGTTTATTGGAAGAAAGTAGAAGTATAGCAGTACTGTAGTATAATAGACGTATAGTTCTATATAATATATATATATATATATATATATATATATATATATATATATATATATATATATATAGTAGAATAGCTATATTCAAGGTGATGCAATATGTCACAATTATAAGACATTATTACGTGCCTATATCTACCCGGCATGCGCATTCTACGCTATTATAAATTACAGCGCGAAATGTTCATGACGGGATTATAAACTAAACGATCTTCCAGATTCTAACTTGCCGAAACAAGGCAGCCGTTTAGCTCAAGTAAACAGTGTATTCTTTCATCTGTTCGCAGGTCACGTACAGCGTCTTACTTTTTATTTTACTCACGTTTTACCTCCGTAATGATAACGTCGTACTAAACGTAATGACATTGTTATTGCAAAATCATTTTAATACTTCACAACTAATAACAAACAGCAAGTATATACATCCGGATTCCGCGTAGTGGGTACACATACCAACATCGTTGACTTATCATCTAATTCTTAAGTTCACGTTATTGATTCTTATTTGACTTTCGACACTACGCATATATCTACGTCCATCATACCACCAGGAATACATGAACACATAATTCATAATGTACGTTCTCCGCAATATTTCAATACTCAGTACTTTCAAAGCTAGCTTTAAGACCTATATCTTTAAATTAGCTTTAAATGTATAGGATTTTATCTCAGATATTATTGATATATAGATTTCGATTTTAGATTATAGATTTTATGTAGGATTTTAGTGATTATACATAGTGAACCTTGTTTTAATAGCAATATATCTATGCATTATCTAGCATATGTACACTTTTTTTATCCTTTCATTTTATTGTTCAGTCGTTTGCAATATTGATGTTCTGCGCGCTATTGACCATTTTATGTAAAAATGCGTAATATTAATGAATATAATAATAATAATAATAATAATAATAATAATATTGGAGTAGAGACGCCACGAGACCTTAATTATTATTAACTTTAATTAATATATGCATAATCAACGTACCGCACACGTATGGACTCTCGTCGTATCCGTTCTTGCACTCGGCGATGCCATTGCACTTCTGTGCGACGGGGATGCACTGTCGGTCGTCGCAGGCAAACACGTCTTCGCTCTCACTACATCTACCATTCTCTGTCGACAGCGTGCTAGCGTCCGTACCTGTGAATGCTAAGACGACGTGGAATCAGTTAATGCTGAGTGAAAAGGAGAGAAAGAGAATAGGAGATGAGGAAGAGAAGGAATAAGGGAGTGAGTCATGCTCCGTATCGGTGAGGGTGAAGAGGTGAGGGGGAGTGCGATGCGCATTGCAGGGTTGTGAGTACTGAAGGAGAGATTCGTGCTCCGTATCGGGCCAGGAATACATTCGAGGAATACATTCGAGTAAGCGAGTGCGATACGTATTGCAAGGCTGTGAGTACCGAAGGATGGAGTCAAGCTTCCTATAGGGAAGGGGAGGGGTGGAAGCGAGTGCAATACGTATTGCAGGGCTGAGTAGGCCCTACAGTATCGTTCGCTTGTACACAATCATAAGGAATTTATTGGATGAGGGACTATTTACTCTAAGGAATATCATTCATTCAAATGAGGATTTCAATAGCTTTCCCGTGTCAGTATTGAAAGTGCGATATATTGCGCGCATACAATGCTGTTTATCCTCAACTACGGGATACTCATCAAAACGGCATTACAGTTGATAGGTATAACTATAATCATTTCATAAACTACGGCGTCCTGTCTCGCCGGGTCCACGCTATGAATCCCCATATCATCCTCCGCGCGTAAATTATGCGTTCATTACGATTCCACAATATTCTCCGCGGTGCTTTCATCATATCGCGAGCTATACTGCCGTCATATCGGCTCATTGCCGTGCGGATACTTCCCTCGACGATAATGAATAAATGTGGAACCGCGAACCTCAGATTACGCTCGTATCATGAGCATAATACAACTGACGCACGAGTGGGGGAGAGGGGTAGGTACCATTGTCAAAGTATCGTAGTGATCGGGCGCGTAAGTGTTATCGTCGGTTTTGTCCGCGTCCGCGATTGCGAAATCCGACCGAAATCCGACCGCGAATCCGACCTCGAATCCGAAATCCGACTCGAATCCGAAATCCGACCGCGAATGCGAAATCCGACCGCGAATCCGAAATTCGACCGCTAATCCGAACTCCGAATAGCGAAATCCGAACCGCGAATCCGACCGCGAATCCGAAACCCGATCAGGAAACACGATCACAAAATCCGAAATCCGACCGCGAATCCGAAACCCGAAATCGGACCGCGAAATCCGAACCGCGAAATCCGGACCGCGAAATCCGACCAAAATCGACCGCGATCGTCGGTTTGTTAACGTCTTAATAATATATTGTATGATGTATATGAATCGTGGCGCGCGCAGGCACATACACGGGCGAGTAGGCGACTAATGGAGTTCCGGCGTGGGAGACACGCATCGGCAACGTACATGAAAACAATCACACAGCTTACTGAGTTTACATTTGACTGCATGAAATGACGGCTAGAGAGAGAGAGAGAGAGAGAGAGAGAGAGAGAGAGAGAGAGAGAGAGAGAGAGAGAGAGAGATGAGATTGAGAGAGAGAGAAGGGAAGAGGAGCAGAGAGGAGGTATTTAGATGCGAGAGAGAGCAGAGAGAGAGAGAGAGTATATGAAGAGCGAGAAGGTAGAGAGAGAGAGAGAGAGAGAAGAGAGAGACGAGCGAGAGAGAGAAGAGAGGCAGAGATAGTGAGAAAGAGAGCGAGAAGAAGAGCCAAAGGATATTTGAGAAAAAAACAAGAGAAGAGGCAAGAGAAGAGAGAGAGCAGAAGGAAGAGCGCGACAGGACAGACTAGGACAATAGAGAGAGAGAGAGAAGACATACAGACAGAGAGAGCAGCGCGCGCGAGAGCAGATGTTCGTGGCCTCTTACGCTCGGCTTCCATTCATGTGCACGAGGCGTAAAGCAAACGCGTACATTATTTACGCCGCATAATGGTCGCGGATACCGTCCACATGATTAATAGCCAACAACGCCGCAGTCAGGTATTGCCTTGCATGTACTGCGCTCTGCGTCCGCGCGCGTATCGCATGCATCTGATAACACGCGGGTGTTATGCTGCGCGATTTTGAAAAAATTCTTGTTTTCGTCGTATCACGGCGAGGTTTGCCAGAGAGTGACCTGCGGGCGGGGGGGGGGGTAGTTAGTGTTTTTTATAACTTATGTTATTGTTCCCTCGTAGTAGCCCATCCATCCGTAATGTTGATTCCGAAACATTTACAGACGCACACGTACACACACCAGCACGACACAAACACACAGTCATACACTTCACACACACACACACACACACACAACAACCACACACACGACACACACACACACACACACACACACACACTCACCTTACGGGCGCACACACAGAACACACATACACACTCACGAGTCCGCACTCACACACACACACACACACACACACACACACACACACACACAACACACACACACACACCACACACACACACACACACGCACACACACACACACACACACACACACACACACGCGTGCACACGTACGCACGCGCGCTGAGATTTAGTAACAAATAACAGCGTAATATGGCACATTTAATATATAACTCAATTGGAAATGAATATGACAGATTATGCGTGCGCATTGCGTTTACATTTCATTGCTTAATGCAAACTCTGTTTAAAGTCCGGCTGTTGGCTATTCGTAGTATTGTGTGTCAACCTTCGTAGAATGAATCCCCTAAAATTACAGCGTACATTGCGATAGTCCACGAGCGCATTTTTTAGCGTCAGGAAATCAATAACACTCCCAAGCATTTCATCTATCATGTTTACCTTGCGTCGAAGGCTGTCAAGTGTTTTTTTTTCAACGCACGATAGATTGGTAGCGTCCTTTAGTGTGCGTAATTGCGGCACCGGGAGAACCGCTGCTATACATGCATACGCAGGCTTCTAGCTAGTTACAAGACGAGAGCGCGTAGCTTTGAGTTTAGAGGGGTAGATAGGTATAGAAGTAGAGAGAGAGAGGAGAGAGAGAGAGAGAGAGAGAGAGAGAGAGAGAAGAGATCAGAGAGAGGTAGAGAGGTAGAAGTAGAAAGAGAGAGAGAGAAAGAGAAAGAGAGAGAGAGAGAAAAGAGAGCAGAGAGAGGTAGCTTGGTTCTGTATACTGTGCGCGCATGTATCCGTTTCCGCGAAGAACAGGATTCGCGAGTATGCGTCGTTAAATCATGTCTCTTGACACCTTGTGCATTTCTTAAACTCGTAATATATTGACATAGTTGTGGTGGTAGTGGTAGTCGTTGCGGCGTTAGCGACAGTAGTAGCAGCAGCAGCAGAAGTAGCAATATTAGTAGTAGCAGCAGTGGTAGTAGTGATAGTGATAGTAGTAGTAGTAGTAGTAGTAGTAGTAGTAGTAGTAGTAG